TTTTTTTATAAATTACACTAACCTTAACTCTAATTTAGCCTGACCTTAATGACAATGACCAGAATTACTTTGTCTGTAAAATAAGCTGTTGGTAAATTAATTGTCAGTAAAATGAACTTGTTGGTGAATTAATTGTTAGTGAACTAAGTTGTCAGTGAAGTGATTGTCGGTGAAATAAGCACCACCCATTCTTAATTAGTATAGTAATGATTTATAAGATTGTGTAATTTAAAAGGTTATCTTAGAACAATAAGATAATTATAAAGTTTATTGTAACAGATCAATGATGTAATCTATATAACTGAAGTAAATAAATAAGAGGTTTGATCTATAAGATTGAACACATATTTTAATTTTTTCTTGAATCTTTTGAATTAAAGTAATAGCATTGCATAGTTTTGTAAAAATTAGGAGATCGTTATTTGAAGTGCAGTTAGGTGTATTAGAGAAGAATTAAAGTAAGGAACAGAAATAAATCATATATGTATATACAGATATTAAGTTAATAACATTCAGTTAACTTCATATTTTAACCCAAGACTAATCAGGTTTTAATTAATTTATATAAATACCACTAAGAAAAACCTGGCAACGAGGTTTCAAATTTATTGTTTACAATTCGTACAAATTAATCTAAAACTTAATAGCAGGTTTCTTTTAACAACACTTACATATTGCTTTCAATCCAAATTAATTCTGTTAGATATATGTAATTAATAACTATTACCGCTATTCTTAAAATAAAAAGGGTATTATTTTATTTGGAACCAGTTGTAATATTTGCAGGGATGTATAGTATCTCTAATTTTTGTTTGAAACCGCTAAACTAAAAAAATAAATAATGAAATCTATAGCTATATTTAAATTTAAAACACAAAGAAGTTAATAATAGCAAGCAATAAGATTATAGCAAAATTAATTATACAGTTAGATATGAAATTTCAACAAGTAATCTTTGAATTTATACTAAAAGGCCAAAAAATAATTAATATAAGAAAATTTAATTGAGAAAAAATAAAACAATTGCTAATAATCCTTTTTATAGTTTAAGCTTTTATATGGTAAATAGATAAATTAAATGTTTCTGTAAGTTATAAAAAAAATAAATAAATAAATTAAGTAAAATAATTTTTAATTTATTTTAATAAACATCTAATTCTATCTTTAAAAAATTATTAAATAAAAGCTCTAAAACCATCCAAATTTCTGTCTTTAGTACTATCTTTTTTACCTTAACATTGTCTTTATTTAAATATCATTCTCAAAATAATGTCTTTAGAATCGCCTTATAAAAAAACAAGAACAGCTATTACTAACAAATTAAAATATAGTGTCTTTGCCTTGAAAATCAAGTATGGGACATATGATTTACTATGTCCCATGACTTGATTTTCAAGGCAAAGACCCCATATGATATTTGTGTTTATAATAATAAAAATCTTAACCGTATACATCAGGAGATTACAGAATATTTTCAAGAAAACTTTCAAATTAGTCTTGAGTGTTCAACAATTAGTATAATTTTAAAAGAAAACCAAAAATGGTTAGCAGTAACTAATAATGCTTGTAATCCAATACATATCAATATAAACAAGTTAGACATCTATTATTAGATCAAGCAATGTAATTATAGATTGAACAAGTTACTAGTAAAGGATTATTTTTGTCCAAATTAATTATAAAAGAAAAGGCTAAATTTTTTGCACAAAATTTGGGTATTGACAATGAATCGCTTAAATTTTTTAATGGCTGGATTCATCGATTTAAAAAACGAAATCAGTTACAAAGTTATCATCTACATGGTGAAGCAGATTCTGCTCCTTTAGAAAATTTATCAGATCAGAGAAATTTATTATGTAATATTATTGAAGAATATACTCTTGATAATGTGTTCAATACTGATGAAACTGGGCTTTTTTTCAGAATGGCACCTAACTAAACTCTTGCAACTAAAACATGTTCAGGCTGAAAAAAAATAAATAATAAATATAAGTAAAGAGATTATTTTATAAATATAAGTAGAACAAGCAATACTGTAGATGATTTTTAATGTATATACTAATAATTATAGTATATTCATAAAAAATTATTTTAATTAGTTGATTTGATACTTTACTCATCTCTATCTTATTTATTTTAAATAAATTATTAATGCCATATATTTTTAATTAAAAATTTTAAGATAAAACAAGAGTTTCTATAATGCTAGCATGTAATGCAATTGGAACACAAAAGCTAAAGCCTCTTGTAATTGAATCCTCAATTCAACCCTGTGTACTTACTAATGTTAATTATGATACCTTGTCAGTTATTTACAGAGCCAATTCTCAAGTATGGATATGGTGTGATATTTTTGGAGATTGGCTAAAAATATTAGATCATTAATTCTGTCTTCAAAACAGACATATCTTACTTTTAGTTGATAATGCATCTAGTCATTATGATCCCAATAGTATTTTACCACCCTCTGATTCTAATTTTAATAGTGAAGAAGAAACTGAGTTAATAAGAGCTACATCAACATCTAAAACCAAAAGTAAAAAAGTTTCTAATTTACAACAAAATAAAAGTCAAGCTCGCAATGATTGTGGTCGTCCATATACAATTCCTGATCTAACTAATTTTCAGTTAACTAATATTAAACTTTACTTTTTTCCACCTAATACTACTGCGCACCTTCAACCTATAGATGCAGAAGTAATCAAATGTTTTAAATCAAAGTATAAGCATAAATATATTCAGCATCTTCTTACTCAGTTTGAACAAGATGAAGATATAAAAGAGTAAGTATTTGCAATAGTTATATTTTAGACAATTGAGTATAAATAAAAATTTATTAAATATAACTAATATATAAACTATTATATAGCTAATATATTAGTTATAGTTTTCTAATAAATTTTTGTTTATACTTAGTTGTTTAAGAAATAACTATAAATTTTTATTTATGCTTAATTATTTAAGATATAACTACAATATTATGTATAAATAATATTGCATATTTCTTACTATTTAATTATAAAATTTTAGAAAAAAAGTTACTATCAAAGATGTAATTTATTATATAGCAGAGTCATGGAATGAAGTTAGTGAAACTACAATTATGAATTGTTGAAACAAAACTGGAATCCTACCTTCTGTAAATTATGAAGAAATTCAGCATGCAAGTAGTTTTTATAATACTTTTATCAAACAAGAAGAAGACAATATCAAATCATCAGTTGCAGAATTAGATTTAACTATTATACCTCAAGTTAACAAATATCTTGAACTTAATAATTCGCAAATTGCTACTGAAGAAGTATTGGATAATACTGAAATTATTGAATTAGTATTAACAGAATAGCAACAAAAAGAACAAGATTCTGATGATTCAGATGAAGAACCTTTAAAAATTCCAGTTTCAGAAGGACTATTGGGTTTAAAAAAATTTGTAGAGTTTTTTGTACAACAAATGGATCCAAATTTTAAATCAGAAGATTTAAATATTTTTCAAAAATACTTATCTATTATGAGATGTAAAGATGTAGAATCAAAAAAGCAGAGTTCTATTATAGATTATTTTATACAAGCAGAAGACAATTAAAAGAATTGTTAATATATTTTAGTAAGTTAGCTTAATTTATATTTATTATCTTCAATATGATTTTTTTGTTTGTTGATTTAATTTACAAGTACCAGTTTAGTGCACAAGCAGTTCTTTATATTATTTATATTTAGTAAATTATCTCTTATTATATAATTTAATTTCTAATAATTTGCTAAATTTTATTTTTATTTATTTTGTATAAATAGTTTTTTGTGTCTAATTATACAGTAAGTTAACTCTATTAGTACTTAATATTAATAATAACCTAAATGTATAAATAAAACTTATATTTTTATTTACCTTATAGTTGGTTTGGGTTGCAAGTCGCTAAAGTTTAGCAAGTTTTTTTATTTATATAATTTACTTATTTTATTTACTTATTACTACCGGCTTAACACAAATTATTATTATATCTGCAAATTGAATTGATCTATTATAATTTAATTTTTACAGATACTAGTTTGTTTAGGGCTTGATGACTACTTATATAGTTGTTTTTTGGTTAGTTTATTTTATATTATTATTAAACTTAGGTTTAATATTTATATACTGCGCTTATCAATTTTTAATTATATTATACTTAATAGTTTAATATATGATTAAATCTTTGTTTATATTTTTTTTTAATAAGTTTAGCTGATTTGACTTTTATTAATATTTAAGTATACAAGTAGTTTTTAGTTAACTACTTATAATTTAATATCAGTATCCCAATATACGAATTATATTGGTAGTTTTTATATTTTCAATGCGCAAATAAATCTTGTTCTAACTTATTAAAATTTAGAACATTTATATATATAAATATTGAGCTATACATATGTCAATATAATTTTAGTTTATTATTCTGTAGATTAGTTTTAGTTTTTGACCAATCCAGTAATCAGTATTAATTAAATAAATAATTTGATTGGATAGGTATTACGTGATCTAACATGTGATTAGAAAACTGAAACCCCTATGTAATCACACTCCTCTATAATCACCAAATTTTCAAGTAATGAAATATGTGATTATAGAGGGGTATGACTGTATATAATTTGAGGTCTCTTATTTATAACAATAAAATTATAAACACTGTATTTTTTAAAAAAAATCTACTTCATATATTGATAAAAATACTTAGGTTGCCCCAAATTTACTTAGGTTGCACAAAAATTACCGATTCTGATTGGCCAAATT